GATGTGGTGCCAAACTCAGGGGTCCTTCTGCCCACTCACAAACAAGGTGTGCAGGAAGCAGAACAGAACAGAGCAGACAGTACCCTCAGTCACTTGATGAACAACAGGAAAATGAAGAGCAATAGCACTGAAGAATAAACTGAGGACTGTGGTTAAGACAGCACAACTTAAGGGTGTGCTTCTGCAGCATGCACACATGGAAGGAAATTGAGTAGACACACTGGAAACAGTTCCCTGCCCCTCAAACAGAAGGGAAGGCCAAGAAACAGGCAGGGAAGAAAACAATACTGATAAGACTTCCTCTCTGCCCTCCATACACTGTGCTCCTAATTTGGCTGCTAGAAACCAGTTACTTGACACCATTATAGTTGAACAATCAGCTCTGTGCTATTTCCAAAAAGCACCAGTATGATTTGTACTAAACTTAGAGGAAATAGTACTCACCTTACTACAGGACAGTAACAAAGCTGGACTCTTAGTACAGCTGTTTTCAAACAAGCTATTTTCTGTTGTTGTCTCCTGGCCACTGTAATATAATCCAGGTTGAAAATCTTCCTCATCTGCTAAGAAAAGGGAATAATCTAGTCCTGCTGCTGTAGTCCAAACACCACTGCCACACACCTGAAATTCATGAGGAAGGAAAAGCCATTAGAAATAACCACCCAAAGCTGGAAGGAGGAAAAAATATTTAACTCTTCTAGCCACACATGCACATAATACACCTGCCAAGAAAAAATACTGCAATAGCTGGTAATTTTTCAGCTTCAGAATCTTGTAACAAATACACTTCTTGCATGTATACCGGAAACTGTCTTTCTTTCCAGTCTTCTTTCTAATGGCTGAATTTTTGCCTTTAAATTATAACTCAGTTTTATTTTCAAATGGGCATCAGGTGAGCTTGATTAAAGTTGGGACACTGTTCTCTCCTCTACATTTAATTGGGACATTAATAAATTTGGGAGACAATTATTATACTGTACCTTAATTTACATAAGGCCTAAACAGGAAAACTCTGCAGCTAGCTTTCCACTAAGAGAGGCACCACAAAACATAGGCAAGGGTCTGGTCTAACCCCAGAATCATTATTTGGCTATTCACTTGACCTGATGTGAAGTTCAAAACAAACAGAAAACCTACTGCCAAAACAGCTCTGGAAATGCAGAAACAAACAAGAAATATAGACATGGCCTAGCAAAGCTAAAAATGCTAGAAGCAATTGTTTAGCATAAAACCAGTGTTCCAAAGTATTTAAAAGTTTCAGCACTACAACACTGGTATCAGAGAAACGAAATACAATGTAGAAGTGAAATCTGATAAGAAGATACAACCAATCACATTTCTGTTTTAGAACTTCAAGGTGGTCAAAAACCAGTGGAAGTCTGGGTAAAGGATTTCTTGGATACGTTTTCCACAAGCTCATCTAGGGTCTTTTTCACAGTATAAGCACATGGATCCATAAACAAGGTAATCTTTTAGAAACCACTTTGCATTCACTTGTATAAGAGACCCTCAAGTGAAAGAAAAATGCAGAAAACAGGAAATACCTTTGCCAGACGAGGGACCGTTGTCGGGGAGTTCAAGTGACCAAGCTGGCCAGAGGTATTACTGCCCCATGAATACACCTATAAGAAACACAGCTAAACATCAGAATGCAAGTTTGTGTACACGGACACATACTGAATTGTAGTAGTACCACACATCAAGTGTACACACAAAAGTCAAGGATGTAAGATTCATGTACCAAGAAGCACTTCCCCAATCTCCACCGTCTCCCTATATTCTCAAATTGTCTTCTCACATTCAGAAACAGAATGCACCAAATCAAGTCACGTCAATCTTTAAACATAATGTTGATGGTATATGCAGAATTTCAGCAGTAATAGAATTAAAATTCCACACTGCTTCCAAGTTGCCTCCCACAAATGGGAACAAGAGCTTAGAAGCAAAACCTAGGAGACACCAAATGTGACAATTATGTCCTAGATAAGGAATAAATGATAACAAACACTTGTACCTGAGATTTGGCAGTGAGTGCTAAGGAATGATGGCCACCAGCAGAGAGATGAATCACTTCTTTACCATCTAGGCTTTTCACACATAGTGGCTGAAGCCTGTCAATCCCAGAACCCATGGGACATGGTGGGAGGGAGAAGAAAACAACACATTATCAAGTGCACACTTAACAGAAATAAATTCCAAGGTGTTTTTTTTTCTCCCTCCATAACACATTAGAGAAAACAAATATACACAGAATCTTTGGGCAATAAAGGTCAAAAAGGTCACAAAAGGCACAAGTTAATGATAAACCTCATCTTAATTTGGACAAAGTCAAAATATCACCAAAATCCTAGAGATTTCAAGGAGAAAAGTCATAACTGACTGACATTCAGTAACAATAGAGTAACAGAATGCGTTACTTGGAGGAACTTAGGTTGCAAGACTTAAAAAAGAACAAGAACACAATGCAAGGTAGCTGACCAAATTTGAGAATCTGAGGAAGTTTAATACTCAAAATTTTCTAGTGACCTACTGAATGAAAGAAAAAAACCACCAAATATTAATCAAAGAAATCTCACCTTGGTAGAACATCACCGTGCCCTAGCTGTCCTTCCTTCCCCTTTCCCCAGCTCCACACCTCCGTTCTTAGAGAGGGTAAAAGAGCATCAGCCTCACCACTGTAGGTTGGAGTCAGAGCTACAGTCCTCATTTTTGCTCGCCCTACCTTCCGTAAGAGCCTAGGAGAAACTGAAAACAGGCCAAGAGGTAGAAAAATTGCTCATGGTTTTAGGTAAATGTATCATGCAGACTGTGTGTTACACAGTAGCAGCACTATTTGAGAACTCATCAAGACTTCTTAAGGAGGTCTTAATTAAGATTGAAAGTGAAAGTTGACATGCAGGAAGATAGGTTACTGATACACAGAAGTAACTTGTATGTTAGAAGTCGACAGATCCCAACTAATTTTTACCAGCTATTAAAGGCTAACAGTCTTAAGACAACTATGCAGTTTTACCAAAGCAAATGAACCAAAACAAACTGTACCTTAAAAAAGTATGTTTTGAAAGAAAAATAGATCCTTGCAGTGAACAAAAGTTTTAAATAATTCCTAAAATCTCCCCTCAGATCCAAGATCAATATAGAACTAAACCATGTACCCATTCAGAGCAATTAACACTAGAATCTATGAGGTAAGAAGGTCATTAGCTTTAAGTTTGGCAGTAGGAATTGGAGTATTTCTAGGTCCCTGGCTCAAAACTAGCTTGGTGTAATAGGAATTACAGGCCACACAGATTTTTATCTGCTATGCAACCTATATGAAAGATAGTTTTCTGTAATTTTGCAATAATATGCCCAGACTACCACAATGTGCTCACTTTACCTTACTTTACTAAGAACATTCATAAGCTCGCTATGCTTTTGGTTTTCTTAGCGTGCAGTATCTGCTAGTCTTCACTCCCTCCACTGATTTCAAGTCCTAAGGTATACTTTATAATACAGACACCTTTGGTAGATAATTAGACTTGTGTTCAACCAGTGTTTTATTTCCCAGTTACAAATCTCCACATTATTATAACTTTTCCAGTTGGCTTTCCCCAACATGCTTTTACCTTGTGACAACAAGCCAGGCAGGGAAAGCCTTCGACTTCCTCCTTCAGATTCCTCCTCTCTAATGTCTACTAAACTGGAACTCTTCTTCCCCTGCATGGATTCCTGTCTGACCTGCTCCTCTCGACTGTCTTTCAGAGCTTCAGGCCCTGGGGAACCACCGCCAGACTGGGATCCTGATTCACTTGGAGGTGCACCATAGAAGTTCATTACTTTCTTCAAAGACAGTGCTCCGGCTTCATATGTAGCAGCTACTCTCACCCCAACTGCTGATGCACAAGAGGCCACCAAGCTGTTCAAGGCAGAGGTGCTGGTACCTGGAGGGCCAGGGATACAAGCACCAAGTTGTTCTTCTTGTGAAGGCTAAAACCAAAGAAAAATTAAAGACTATGACACCAGACAGCATGTAACAGTAGGATGATGATATACACATTCACTACTCAAACTATATGCTATATACACTGAACAGACATTATGAGAAAATTTTTTATACTTAGGCATGCATCTCTTCCTCAGAATCTTATTTTTTTTAAGGTAGGACCAAGGACCATTTCTACACAGACTGGGCTTTGTCTGCTGCACTTGTCTAGTGCAAACTCATCCATAAAAGACTGTGGATCTGTTTGTCTGGGTTTCTTTAAAAACATACAAAAAAACCTTTCCAAACAAATAGAAAAAAGATTAAAAGGGATTGAATTTTAGGCTTATTACCAACTTCTTCACCACTAATTAACGTGCACCAGTCAGCATGCTCTATTTGCAGAGAGGCAAGTTCTCTCTTCAATATATTAAAAGGGAAAAGGTGATTCATGGATTCATTTTGCAAGGTCTATATAAGATCTTGTGGGGCCTATGTGTTCCCTTACACTGCTATTGTACCCATATAAAGCTTGGTCAATAATCATCAAGTCACACTAGGGACAAACTAATTGAAGGCACTTATGAGTACCAGCATGTGGTTACCTATTATAGCAATCAATCTACCCACCAAATTCAGAAATAATGCACAGGACTATGTGCCAAATAGTCTGAATGTTAAAACAAAGACAGCAAAGTCCCGTTTTCCCACCTAATATATGGTGTAAAGCAAGATTATTAATATCACATCTCATTTTATTCTACAAGGCGGCAGACAATCTTTGACTTCTCTTTTTGTGAAAGGTTAGGCTAAAGGATTGGGCTTGGTCCTTACTAGCATTTTATTCCTATTTATAAAAGACATGCCTAGTGATACAGAAGATCAAACAATTTGTGTAGGAAAGCAAAGAGAAACAGAGGATTTTACTAATGCTGAAACATTACGTTAGTCCTCAGCTCTGCTCTTCACATGTATGCTCAACTCCGTTAAGATTCATTGAATTAGTTCCAGGCTTATTTATTCCTGGAACTATACAAGGGAAGCAGTACTCTGGAAGTATTCCAGGAACAAGGAATTGAGAAAGGGAGCATGAAACTACACAATTCAGTCATTTCCTAATGGCAAGAGCTCTCCCAGGAGTCTGAGGGGCCAGCAACTGCTAGAATGCATCTTATTAGAAAAATACAAAAGGAATGACAACTGTGTTTACACATTTATTTCCCTGAAATAAATTTACTTCAGAACAGGAAAACATAACTTGCTGAATCACCAAATTACTGGAGAGTTTGTTTTAGTTTTAATACTACTACTTTATTTTCCCCCAATTACAGGTGGTAACAAAAATCAACTATTTATTAGGCACTGTAAAACTTATCTCCCAGAACCACTGTGAAAACCTCCTTACTGTAACTGCTAAGAAAAATAAAGAAATTGATGTCTGCACCTTACTTCCTATGACAAAAGACATTTTCAGAATTCTGCTATGAATTTTGCGTCCTGGGCCACAGAGTGAAGGCAGTTTTCCTTACAGACATTACCTTTACCATATGCCACCCAGCAGGACAGTACTTGTGTAGGGACTGCCAAACTGCACTGTAAGATTTTGGATTGTTTTCTGTCCAATAGTTTTTGAGTTTTAGCTTCTTCCTCCCACCCCAAATAAGATTTTTTTTTTTTCTTCAAAGAAGTGGAAAATGTAGTATTTTGGCAAAGAGCTGGAAACAGCTTTTGAACCTTGTGATGAAGGTTCAAGAACCTGAAACCAAGAATGAAGCTAAGCATTTTCTGATGCTCATCAAGAAATTATTACTTTACTGTTCTGCTATGGCATAGAAATAGCATCACTGAACCATTTTCCACATCACACAGAGTAGTACTTCTGTATTTCCCATCCCTGTTTATGAGTTTATGCCATCCCTACATGATTAACATCAGGTCAATACTAACATTACCTTTAGTATCTTTTCTTGCAATCTAGAATTTTTAACTGATTGAGCAGTTAGATTTGTGAGGGATTCATTTCACATTTACAAAATAAAGCTTTACCATAAAGGTAAGTTAGACAAGCATCAGCTTCCTACCCCACACGAATGGGAAACCCACGTATTGTAAACCAGCTAGAGAATGGGAAATTGGCTTACATTGCTCTGATACTGTGTACCAGAGGAAGAAGAGAGACTATAGCACAGTCAAGGCTGCCCACATTAAAGCTTTACAAGTGGACATAGAGGGAGGGGAAAAAAACCCAACATCTTCTGCTTAAAAGCCGAGAACCATCACTGAGAAAAATCACTCTGAAACTACAGGACCACCACACCTACATTAAACTACCAGAATTTTTCATTTCTCTAAAGAGTAACATTGTCACGTATACAAGAAGAGTTGTAGCAGAGTTAGAGCTAGTTACTAGGTACCAACCTGCTCAGGTTCTGGGCAGATGTTCTTCTCCAGGCTCTCACTTAATGAGTGATCTGACAAACTGATTAAGTACTCTTTCACTCCTTTTTTGTCTGGGAACAGAATATTTCCAGGACTAGAAATTCCACTGTCTTCCTGTCCATCGTTACTGGAAAACACACTTGTTCCATCAGCTTCTAACGCAACAAGCGTATGTTCTTCCACAAGTGGTTTCTGACAGCCTTCACTCTGGCTACCTGATAGACTTTTTCCTTCCGGGGTCTCCAGTGAGGGACAGAACGCATGGCTTTCTGGTCGGTTATCGGACAGTGCTACGCCCAGTGGGCAACAGTGACTATCTGAAATGATTACATGATCTTCCTTGTCCGTCATGGTAATGAGGAGTTGGCTGCAATGATTGCACCTCTCTGGGATAGGCTTCATTTCCTGCACAGGAAGACATTGTACCAGAGCCAGGCTGTGGTAGGCTCCACAGGCAATCTGGAGCACAACGCGCCCTGCCAGGTGCTCTACCTTCTGTGGCTTTGTCACTGGGAAAGTTGTTGTTATGAGACCGAGCTGGCAGCCACTCCCCCAAGCCCATATCTCTCTGCTTAGTGACAGTGCCAGTGTGTGCTCCTCTCCACATGCTAGCTGCAAAATCCTTACTGATAAGAGAGGACTGGTTTCAGAATCAGAAATACTGATGGGTTGTGGCTCCGGTACACATGGCTGATTAGCAACTGCACACTGGCCAGCAGAATTGTTGCCCCACATGTACACCACACCACTTTCTGTTAAGGCTCCATTATGGAAGCTGCCAGCTGCCACTGTAATAACATGATGCCCAAGCAAAGTATTTTCTAAGATAGGACTATTGGCACATGACTCCTCCGGTTCTGATCTCCAGGGCAGTTTTCCAAAGCTGTAGACCTCTCCACCTGGGTGAAACACAAACAAAGAACAACCTAGCATGAGTCTAATGAAATTAAACCAGAACTAAGATGTGAAGGGAAATTGAGATAGACACCAATTTTTAGCTTACTCCAAGCTCGGTGAAACTATCACTGTTGATCTATGAAGACAGCTGGCTGCTCTCTGCTATTGCCGCTGTTATGTTCTATACCTCATGTTAACGTTACCCTGTGTACCCATGCACTGTTGAACAAAGTAATGTTTTCCTGCTAAAAATTCTACTGTACCCAAGTGTATTTATTGGTCCTTTCTATTTTAAGAACATAAAACCATGCTCAAAGAGCATGAAAAAGTAGAGAGCTCATCTCTCTCTGCAGTGATCTAGCATTAGCAAACTGTATTGTTTGCAACCCTACAGTAAAATAGCATTGTCCTATCAGGCGAAAGTGGTGGTGGGGTGTGTATAAATGTATCTTGCCACTGGTTTGATGTTATACTGCAGCCTCTCCGAAATATCATTACCTTTATCTGAAAAGATTGGAGCAATGCCAGTTCAAGTTACTTTGCTAAGAAACCTATTTTTGAAATGAATACTTGTTTCCACAGTGATAGAAAAACCTGTAAATCATATCCACAAACATCATCCTTCATGCGACAAGAACACACACAGAAATACCTTTTAATTGCAAAAGAAACATGTTCTATAAAAGCCACTGGAGTTCCATAACTCCAGTAGAGGAGGGGTGCTTAAAGCAGACTCACCAATAACCTGTATTCTGTCCTTCAAAAACATCAGAGAAAAATCAAAGCAGCAACTTCCAACTTAGTCTTTACAACTGTATGCCCACTGATCAGTACAAGGACAGAGCTATGCAAACACTTAAAGTGACTGGCTTTCAGAAATCAAGCAGCATCATTTTGAATTAACACTACTTAGATTACATTACCATCTTTAAACAGGAAATCCAGAGACATTGTTAAGAAAGATTATGAAAGAAGACATTAAGCATATAACTTCTACTCCACACAGTTTCAAGTAGCTTGTAACTAAGGAGGAAATACTGGCAAAGGTAAAAATCTAACCCTTTAGAAGTTGTACATGAGACACAGATAGAATGAAAAAGAAAGTCTAAAATAAGAAAACTTGGCAATAACTAAAGCTTGTTACTGCCCCAAATCTTTACAATTAAGATGTTTATTACCTTCTGTTAGAAGTAATCCATGATATATTCCAAGGGCTGCCTGTAATACAGTTTTTCCACTAAGGCCAGGAAGCCTTTCTGGAGTTACAGAGCAGGAACCAGCCTTCCAAACATAGACCAGGCCTCTCTCTTTGGCTCCTTCTGCCTCTTCTGAGCTACAAAAAGATTGGGGGAAATACAGAATCCGCTTGAAGTTTTCTGTAGTTCAGTAAAGCATAGTTTGCTTTTCACATGTGCAACAAAGGCTTAGTAGTTCAGGCATTAGTTTTAATTTCAGAAAGATATTTTACTTTCAATTTGGTAATCTTAATTTAAATGTTACTTAAATGAAAAACAAATATCTTCTATTTGAAATCATTAGGTTTCTTTTTCACTTGTACTTTACTGCCTGAAAAGCAGCTGATCTTGTCACTAGCAAATTTAAAGATAGATTTATTCACAACTGATAGAGCCTTTATATTATATATTCTATTTGTTGCTCACAGCAAGGAGATCAAATTAATACACAGTTCTGCCATTGTATGCCAAAGGAGATTGTTGCATCAGTTCCACCCACATGTAAGCAACCCTGTTCCTATCTGAACAATGATATTTATAATGTTAACTCTTCTGTGTTAAAAAGCAGAATGAACATTGCTGGTTTATTAGGTTTTATTTATGTTTTCGTTGGGTTTTTTCCTCTTTTAATTCTTAATAAGTTTCTTCAATTCAAATCAATTGAACCCAGAAAAAAAAAACCATCCTGAAACTCTATGGAAGTGTCTGGGCTTGCATGAATGACTGGAACTAGCCAAACCTGGTTTAACACTTCAAGACACCCTGGTTTGAATGCTCAATCAGCAACTTCCCCCATTCAGCACAAAGAAATTCCTCAAAACTTTGACAAGCAGCACATGGCTTTAACAATTTGTGGAATCACTGGATTTAAACACAAAAAGTCAGTTTAAACATCAGTGTACTCTGACAGCATTAAAGTTAAATGAAGTTAAATTAAGTTAAATGAAGAGTTTTCTTCCAATTTCTTTAAAACTTTATATAGGATAGACTTCTCCACCCTGCAGGAAAAATTAGGTTTAGCTCCTTATTTACCAACAGTCACTACTACCCACATAAACCAGTTCTTGCAGCTTTGCATGAACTTGTGAAGATAAATATATAAGGCTGCAAGAAAAGCTTTGTCTAGAAGAAAAGGCACAAATGAATACATTCCAAAACTGAAGTCTGATAGGCTGCACTGTGGACAACTTATGCAAGTAGCACATTCAAAAGCCGTAAGGCCCTACTCATGCAGACAACTGATTTTTTAAAATTAAAAATGTTGTGACCTGTGGTGCATAGGATGAACAACACCTTTACACAGTTTGCCTCTGAAACTTTCAAGATGAGAATAACTATGAGAGGGAAATACCTCTCTTAGCTCCTGTGCCCATCCCCAAGGAATAAAGAAAAAAGAGGAAAAGGTGACAGTCAAGAACTCTTCTAAAATTCAGGTAAGTCATTTAATCCAAACATCATACATGGTATTAAAATGCATAGTCCATCTTGCGTTCTAAATACCTCGGACTTGTGCTTAGAGTAGAAGTAAATTAAAAAGGAACCAACTGAGTAATATATAGGCCAGAAAAAAGTTTGAAAAAATCCAACATCATAATTAGGCCATTTACCTAAAATCAAAATGCAGATTTTATTCAGATGGGCAAAGTACACCAAAGAAAACAATACAATATCTAAGCTTTATCATCAGCATACTGTGCATTAAATTCAGCACAAAAGCTCATTTTTGGGCTTTTACCCATGTAAAAGATCTTCAGAGAACAGTGTAAGACAAATTCGGACTTGCCATACCAGGATCTATTATACAAGACACTAATTTTCCATCCCAAAAACATCTGACCTCTGTCAGGTATCTTGGAAGAAACAAGAAGCGAAAGAATAGTCTACTGCAGGGCTATTGATCCAGAATCAAAATTCACAGGTACAGATAAGATTTACTGTGCACCAGAGAATGTTACTTTCAAGTTTTTAAGCCTATGGCTATTCCTCCACAAGTTACAACCACCACCTTAAAGTTGAGTGTTTCAGACATAACTGAAACTAGAGCTAAGTTACTCTTCCTCTTATATAAAGAGTATGCTGACATCATTTAATATATTTACAGGATGATTGTCAGTTGGCATATTTCAGGGAGCCTCTGTGGCTTCACCTGGCTGTTTATTCTCACCTTCTTTCCTGTGAGTCCATCTGTCAGTGGCAGCACTCCATCACCACCAAATCATTCCTCTTTCAAAAGGAACAATGTAATTTCTGCAAACTGCAAAACATGAGAAACCAGCCATTTAATTGCAAATCACATTAAACCTAAAACCCACAAAACCCACACCACCACTGAAAAAAAAGAAACCACCACCAAAGAAAAAAAACCACCCAAGAAGCAAAGCTTCAGATCCTGTGTTAAATAAGCACTTCCACAATGCTAGGATGGTTGAAATATTTAGTTCACTCACACTGAGTTGGCAGACAAAAGCTAAACAGCCAGACTTGTCCTGCCTACTCATCTCACAATAGGTCTATTGTAAGAACAGACTGGACAAAACCCAGTTCAAAGGCAGAAATTAACACTAATCACTCTGTAATTCTCAGACCACCACTCAAGAAACATCAAATTGATCCATTTTCAGACTAAGATAAAATTCTATGCTCAAGCTTAATTTGTAAGGTAAATCGATTTGTATGAGCAGAAAACAGTTGACAGTTGAATTCATAACCATACCCCCAACCAAACCACATATTACTATTAGACGGTACAGTTCTATTAAAGCCTATGCAGAAATCCAATTAAGAGTTCAAAACATTTCTTCCTGCAAGCTGGTTGCAGAGTATCTGTGAAGATATGATAAGACCATAGAAGCAAAGGAGAAAAAAAGTGGCTGCTCCATTTATGCTTTTATCCTTTCAGATCACCCTCACACCTTTCAGTTCACCCTCACACCTTTCCATCTTCATGAAGATAACTTCTTCTTACTTTTTGTGTAACAAAACAAAGCTACAGTTAATCTTTGTCTCTTTTATTCTGTTCGGCTTTTTAATATTGAAAGAATTGTAATTTTTCCTTCATCTACTGCCTTACTAGATGAAGTATTAAAACTTTTAGTTACGTTAAGACATGTAATTATATTTATTCTAATAAAATGAATAAATTCTTTAGACCTTTTGCTTTATTATAGTTGCTGTCTAATATCCACTGTAACAAAAGCAGAAATTACTTAATATAATGGTCTTTTAAGACATCTCCAAGAAAATATCCAGAATAAGTAGCCTGAAGCTCCTACATACAGAAAATAGAAAGAAAATATGGCCTGTCTTGATTACAAGAAACAATACATGCAAACCTGTAATATGCATACAGAAGCTTCACTTTGCTTGGAAATAGTAATCTTCAAGTTGAAAAATAACTGAAATAACAGAAATCCCAACACTTTCACTGGAATGCTCTAAATAAGGAAGTACCAAGCAGACCTTTACAGGCAGAAACAGCAACATATCATACCAGATGTTTCCAGTTTTCCAAACACAGGACTAAAAATAATGGACTTGGGCTTCGGGGTTGGCAAAGAACATATCACAAAAGGACCGAGAGCCATAAACCCATAAAATCAAATTAGCATATTAGAGTAGTATTGTGGTAACTCATATACACCTTGCTCTGAAATAAATTCAGAGCATACTTTCCAGGAAAGAAAGCCACACTTGTCACCAGAAAGATACTGCTTTCAAGACATTCCTGTCTCTCTTTCCTCAACTCCCACAACTGTAAAAGTTAACTTTTAAAATATTAACAGAGGAAGTCTCACAAATGGAAGGAAACCGTCATGCAATACTTCAGCAACGGAGGTGCTGATGAAACATCAAAGGAAAATGGAAGCACATTTTTGAATTTAAAACTCTCTGATGTGTTCTAGCTCAGAGTAAAGCACATTTGGGGATTTTTTTTTTTAGCCTGCTCGAAACTACCTAACTCTACAATTCATACTCTTGAAATGCTGGCACTTCTCCTCTGTGAAGGACACTAGCTTCACATAAAAATATCCAATGGATTGGTGAGATAGAGATGGAAGCTTTGATAAAGTATCAACAATTGTATCATTTACATCACATATACCTATCTAAAAACACGGAACTGAGGCTTAAAATTCCTGGCTTCTACAACTGTGTGTGTAGGGGGGGTGGTGGTGTTTTGAATCTTGCATTTTCATGAGCTTCAACTGCACAAAAATTTCCTGTAATTCTCATGAAAGCTTCTGATTGTAACAAACCAAAGTTAAATATTCGTTAGTTAAACTTATTATTCAAAGTTAAAGCCAGGCATCTGATGAGCTGTTTTGCAAGATCTCACTTCAAGGCCCAATTGAAAAATGATTTATGCAATTATTAAGAAACCTGCAATGCCGGTGAACTAGAAATGAAGAGAGTAAGATGATGGTGGTGATATATTTAGTCTTCTTTACAGAAGCTCACACTGAAGGTTGCATTACTAAGCATTTATTTGTATTAGGGACAATGAGAGTCCAACTGTTTTCTTTCCATAAATGAGACACTTTTAAGACATTTATAAATAATTTTCAAGTTCAGTGCAAGTTTTCATTCACTCCTAGGAGAGTGCAACATTATTCCCATTTCACAGCAAATACAAGTCATTTGGTCACAGCCTCAAACTAAGTAATTATAAGAGTTTCTTCCTCCCAGTAGGAATATACAATTTTCCTTGCAGGTTCACATTTATATACTAGTGCATTGTAGCATTACACATACACTATTTCTTTTCCACTAAGATTACCTGAATTGTTACTAGATTTAATATTCATACAAGTGAACGGCCAGGCACAATCCATCATTGCGTGATATGGAAGATGGGTATGACACCAGCACCTGCACTGCTCTGCCCATACATTCACTTTTTAAATTTTTGCTTTACACTACAAGAAGAAAAAAGACTGCAAAATAATGCCAAAATATTAGATGGATTTGTGCCACAGACAGATGGTCACTAGTGTGACACTGAGGTTGTAATTCCCACTTACAGAGTAGAAGGCGAATTCAAATTCTCCAGAAACCAAACAGTACCACACCATAACAACTGCTATGGCAGGGACTGACATGGAGTAAACATTACTCTCATTACTACGCGACTGCGTCCTTCACTGTCGGTGACCATTCTTTAATAAGCATCCTAGGTACAGAAGACATCTTACATTCAGTGCTGAACAGGAACAACTGGTATATCCCTGACTTTCAGAAATACTGGAATTCCCATCAGCCTTGTGTGCTTATCTACCTGCTATAGTTAATGAATACTACAGTACTTCTACAGCTTTCAGACATGTTAAACCCACATTTTTAATAAATTTGTTGCATTTCATTCAGCGATAACTTACAGTTCGAAGACTGCAAGTTTGCCATACAAGGTTATCTACTCAGGTTCTGAAGGAGGTTACTCTCAAGCTTCCTAATTCAAAACAGAGATGTCAACATCAGCCTTGTTGATACATACCATTTATCATTGCTAACTGTGGTTCGCATACAATGTGTTACCACTCCAAGAAGCCCTTGCGATTTGGTCAGCACCAACTAAACAACCACTATTTTTAACATTATGTGAATAAGATCTGCTCAGAACAAAACAAAACAACTTGCTACTAAAAGACAGCTGCAATCCCTTCAGATGTGGGCTCAAAGCTTTTAATGCTGGTTCCAGTGAATGAGGGATGGTAACAAACAAGACAGAACAATAAACACAACAAAGACAGGGCCAAGTATCAGCTAAAAGAAAATAGCTGAAAACTATCTGTTATAGCACAGAATTAATAATTTAAAGTTTACCAAACTCATAAGAGACTCAAAAATTTCTGAATATCCCTTTCTCCTCTTCCCTTTTGACATTACACCTTCTTAATTCAGCACAGGTTTGGGTGCTTCTCCTTCTCTAAACAGTTAACTCCACGGAAGGATGCCAAGTACAGCGAATTCCCATAAGTTGCTGCACTACAAAAGCAGTGATCAACCACCAATTCTCTATGACTACTTTAGTTGCTCTTCAGCTACTCACCACAGTATTTTTTGTACTGTGAGGTCTATGAGAGTTACAGCATGCTATGTCACCTGTACACCATACTGCACCTATGCCAGGACCATCGTTCAATAGATTCTGAAAGTTGAAACAGCATTTACTCCTGAGCAACCAAGTCATGAAAAGAAAAAGGACTCTGAAACAAAAGTGTAATAAGATAAAGGCCATACTGTTTAAAGCACGCCTTAAAAACTCCCATCAAGAGGGAGGAGTCCTCTAGAAACCTACATAAAGGTCAACATCTCTGCTC